AGACACAGGGAGCAGCACGAGGGGACAGCTTGTCCGCAGACAAGTCGCGGACAAACGCCCGAGATCCCCAGACACGGAACGCAGACGCATCGCCGACCTTCCCCGTCCACAGCAGAGCTGGGGAGGTCTCCGGCCGGGAGACCCTGGGGTGAAGGTTGATCTGATGCGCCGCGTACCGAACCGCAAACGGCCACAGAAAATGGGGGGCAGCCGCATGCATCATGGACGTACGAGCGACGTCCATGACCATGCCAATGCGGCGCTCAGCAATCCCATTTTGCTGTGGAGAGTCCGGAAGTGTAAAGGTCTGGCGGATGCCTCGTGCACGACAGTAGGCTCGCAGAAGGGCAGAGGAGAACTCTCCACCTCGGTCAGAGTGCAGACGCAGAACAGGAAAGTCCGAGCCGAAGCTCCTCCTGAGCTGGAGACGAGCTGCGCGGATCCAGTCGATCAACACCTCAGTGACATCACCCTTGCTGCGCAAGGGGAAGACTGTGGTGTAACGCGAGTAGTCGTCAACCACCAGCAGGAAGTAGCGCTCGTGACCCTGCCCACGGACGCGGGCCGGGCCCCACACGTCCATGTGAAGCGTCTGCAGAGGAGCCTCTGTCGGGGGAAACTGGGAGGAGTGAGGGGCAGCCCGGAGCCGCCCCTCGACACAGGGGACACAGGAAGGTCCGGGTCCCGAAGGAAGGGGAGGGAGAGACCGGGGAAGACCAGAGACAAGGACACGGGAAGCCATGCCCCGAAGACGAGGCAAGGAGGGGTGGCCAAGACGGTGGTGCCACAGGAGAGTCTCGTGAGACAGGCGGCGACACGAGCAGGGGGCAGACTCAGGACCAGACCTGGACGCAGCAGCAAACACCTGACCCGACGCAGCTACCTGGCCAGACGCAGGGACAGGAGGAGACTCAGTGGTCAGGGTGTAGAGACTCGACCCCGGCCGACGCGAAAACGTGGCCAGGTGTCGGCCTGTGCGGGCGTCCGAGCAGTGGGTCACCCGCTGACTCGCAGGAGTAAACTGGTGAACCCCCGCATCCTGCAGGTCAGCACCACTCACCAAGTTCGTCGAGAACGAGGGGAGGTACAGACCAGACAAGGTGCCCGAGGGGGCAGCCGGACACGGGAGGACAGTGGAGAAGTGAGAGAGGACAGGACCCCCAGAGGGGTCAGCCAGGGAGACTGCAACCGGCCGGCCAAGCGGCGTGAGTGTGGTGCGGTCTCGAAAGAAGGAGCGAGAAGCCCCTGAGTCAAGCGTGAAGGTGAGGGAGGCCGAAGCCGACGCAGTACCTGAGAGCGCAGCCTCACCAGTACCTGAGAGTGCAGACGCACTGGCACCTAGAGCAGCAGCCGCAGAAGTACCTGGCGCAGCAGTACCAATGCCCGGGTCGGGCGGGAAACACCGGTAACAGTCACCCTCCTCACTAATAGTCACAGCATACATGGCAGCAAGGATAGCATCAAAGTCAAGATCAAAGATAGCTACGCCAGCCCTAGACAGCTCTCCCCAACGGGGAATCTCACTGGCCTCGGGGAACTGCTGACGCCAAGCGTCCGTCAGGCGGCCAAAGCAGCGCTGGGTGGGGTGGGCACCCCCGCACGGTCGCCGGAACGAAGGACGTAGGTGCACGGACCAAAACCCCCACCCCGCTGACGCTGCGTGTACCACTCACGGAGCTGCTGGGGCGGGGGGATGTCCCGCGAACGCTGCTGCTGCTGCTGCTGCTGACGCTGGCCACCACCAGAGCCGCTACGCTGCGGGGCACCACCCCGACCAGCTCCACCCCCTCCGCCACCGCCGCCTCCACCTCCACCACCACCGCTGCCTCCGCTCCCACCGCTGCCGCCACCACCGCCTCCTCCTCCGCTGCTGCACCGCCACCACCGCCCCCGCCACCACTCCCACCGCCACCCCCACTCCCTCCGCCGCCTCCACCGCCACCTCCACCGCCCCCGCCAGTTCCACCCGCGCCCTTGCCCCCCTTGCCCCTGCCAGGGCGGCGTCTCCCGCTAGGGGCAGACGCCGCGCAGACCGACTCAAGACCAAGCAGGTCGGCAGCAGCAGCAGAGGCAACAGAGGGCAGCAGGGGGGAAGGAGAACACCCCTCAAAGATGGGGGTGCGAGGGTCACCACGAGAGGCTCCTACAGCGACGATGCTCTTCTCTGCCGCAAGGAGGGACTTCTCGAGGAGGTCGACAGTGAGAGTGGTGGGACAGACTGAGAGGAAGTGGTCCCTGACTACGCGAAGGGAGTCAGGGAGGCGTGTGACTATGTAATAGAGAGTGATGTACATGGGGGGGGGGTTCTTGGCGCAGAACTCAGCAGGAAGGGCGGCGCGGTAGCGAGTGTCACTAGTGCGGAGGTGCGTAATGAGGTCAGCGACAGTGGGAAAGGCAGCAAGGTCAGGAAAGAGGTACGGTAGCATGAGGCGGCTCAGGGCAGCAGTGGCAGGGGAAGAGTAGCGCGCAACTACAGCGTCGTACAAGGTCTGAGCACTCTTGTACTGACTAAAGTGCGCGCGCTCAGTGGTAGGCAGGTGGCGACGCACAGCAAGACGTGCAGCAGCATCGCGGGTGGCCCACTGAGAGCGAACAGTGGGGTCAGCATCAGCAGCAGGGGCAGGGGAGGCGCCAGAGGTGAGGTCAAAGAGGGAAAGACCGTCCGCCCTATCGCACTGTAAGAACAGCTGCAGGTCGTCGACCCAGACCTCAAAGTCAATGGCTCGACCCTCAGCGTCAAAAGCGAGGACACTAGGGGTAGCCATGACGACGACAGTGTAGTAGTGCAAGCAGTAGGGGAAGGGCACGCAGTAACAGTGGTGCTGTGCTCACCAGGCAGGGCAGGTCGGGCGGCTCGGCAGTAGGGCGGCCCGGCAGCTGGGCGGCTCGGCGGCTCGGCTGCTGGGCGGCTCGGCTCCCGGGCGGCTCGGCGGCAGGGCGGCTCGGCGGCAGGGTGGCTCGGCGGCAGGGCGGCTCGGCGGCTCGGCTCCCGGGCGGCTCGGCGGCAGGGCGACTCGGCGGCAGGGCGGCTCGGCTCCCGGGCGGCTCGGCTGCTCTGCTGCTGGGCGGCTCGGCTGCGCTGCTGTTGGGCGGCTCGGCCGCTGTAGAGGAGTGGCGGGGCCGCTGCAGAGAAGGGCGGCGGGGCCGCTTGATAGGGCGGCGGGGCCGCTGATGGGGCGGCGGGGCCGCGAGGAAGGGCGGCGGGGCCGCGCTATGGGGCGGCGGGGCCGCGAGGAAGGGCGGCGGGGCCGCTAGATAGGGCGGCGGGGCCGCGCGATGGGGCGGCGGGGCCGCGAGGAAGGGCGGCGGGGCCGCTAGGTAGAGCGGCGGGGCCTCGCGATGGGGCGGCGAGGCCGCGAGGTAGGGCGGCGGGGCCGCGTAATGGGGCGGCGAGGCCGCGAGTAAGGGCGGCGGGGGCCGCTAGGTAGGACGGCGGGGCCGCGCAATAGGGCGGCGAGGCCGCGAGGTAGGGCGGCGGGGCCGCTAGGTAGGGCGGCGGAGCCGCGAAGACGGGCGGCGGGGCCGCTGAGACGAGTGGCGGGGCCGCAGTGAAGGGCCGCTAGGGCGGCTCGACGAAGTGAGGGCCCGGAGCGCGACTCGGGCTGAGCGCGCTTCGGGCAGGAAAAAAAAAATCGATGTGGTGGGCCCTAAGCACAGTTCCCAAGGGGGAACCTGCTCGATACCATGAGAAGATTTGAACAAGAATGAATGAACTATGAATGAAGTGAGTACATATAGGAAACCCTAATTGGGTTGTACCCCCTATGGGATACCCCACTATAGCCTACACAACAGCATAAGCTATATATATGTTCTGACAGGTGTATGCAAGCGTTCGAAGCCGCAGGAATCGACCCAACACACCTTGGCACCCATTCCTTTCGCAAAGGAGCTGCCACGGTTGCAGCTAGTGCGGGAGTCCCAGATCGCATCTTCAAACGACTTGGGCGTTGGCGAAGCGAGACCGCAAAGGACCAATATGTGACTATCTCGCAGCAACACCTTATCGCAGCTTCTCGCGACATCCAGGATGAAGCCCACGCACCTTCCCCCTCACAGCATCGTCACGCCATCGAGACACCGCCAACCTCCTCTCCACATGTCTCAGAAGACCCAGTTGAAATGAGACGTTGCATTTGCAAGGCAAATCGCAAGCTTTCACAATATGTAAAATTTTGAAAGTGAAACACTTTCTAAAATTGTGTATTGTGAATAGCGAAGCGAATTGTACCGAAGCAAAGGCTTCGGCGAACCGCTACTTCCCCTCTTTTTGGTACAAAAGAGGGGGCGAAGGCCATTTGGCCTTCACCCACGTTTTTCATTTCGAACTTTCAAGTTCAAGTTTCCCGCCCTCCCACCCTAGCATAAGATGCACAATGCTATTCTGTCGTATAATGCTTGGACGATAAAATCTTGTACTTGCCAGTTGAAATGAGACGTTGCATTTGCAAGGCAAATCGCAAGCTTTCACAATATGTTAAATATTGAAACCAGTCACAGGAAAAGGCTGCATACTAGACGAATATTAGGCTACCGGTACAAAGCGACAAAAAACCACTGTATACGAAATGATCGGAAGCAAGTCAACCGAAACTTAGGTAGCAGGAATTAGCTTACAGCTATATAGGCAACAGTCCAGAATGCCGGATAACGTAGTCTACCTAAAATGGAATGAACTGGATAGATCATAGATACACTCTCTAACCCCTGATGTCCTGCTTTATGAGAGAAGAGAAATAATGTCACACTAACTTGACTCCTACACCGTCGCTATCGCCAAGAAGAGCGAGTGTACCTCTAATCGATCGACAGACTCACCCTGAAACCAATGAAACCTATGCTGCATCATCTGCTAGTGCCCACTGGCTAGTCTGCATCTCTGTGTCGGCTCGGCAGCACCACCTCATTTATGCCTTCCCCTTCCCTACACCACCCGCACTACACACATACACAGTCAGTGCTCCCACACAAACTTGGCACACAGACATCATACCACCCTCTCATGACTGCAGCCACACTCTATCCCGGAGCCTCTGCGGACCTGCCCCATAGAACTCGTCCACTTTACTGCCCTCGCGGAAAAAACGGAAGGTGGGGGTGTAGCGAACGTCCTCGGCCATCTGAGTGCATTTATCCACGTCAGCGTACACAAAGATGGGCCGTGAGTACTCGTTGCTCAGGTTGAAAAAGGTGGGAAGCATCTTGCTGCACGCATGGCACCTGCACAGGGATGCATGGCGATGGTATGGTGGTATCAGATAGGGAGGGAAAGGTGAATTGGGGGATGGTGAAATGCCTTGGTCTGAGAGTTGTGAAGAGAACAGAATTTGAAACAATTCCTCAAACATGCAGAACATACAATTAGTGTGGTTGCGGACAACATCAAACAATGCACCACGGACCTAACCATGCATGCCATGCCGACTGCATGACAGCATAAAGAAGCAGAAACTCACCAGCTGGCGCCATACGTCACAACAACCTGTGATAAAAAGGAGGATGGGTTTTCAAACGGAGGGAGGGCGGAAGGCGGTGAGTTAGCATCTGGGAATTGGAAACGGCGACTTGAACAAACTCTTAAGAAATTGGCCACGCAGGAAAAAATAAAGCAGAATCATGAGGCATCGCAGGAAGTAACGAGGGTACCGGCCGCGTTATCCGACGACGTCGTCCGAGTGGCAGGTCTACTTAGAAACGGTCATGCCAAGCCGCAGCTCGCACTGTTTTGGAAAACCGAAACCTAGTGTGTACAGTCGTGAGGCCCACTACTAATACCTTCGCTTTAGCAGACAAAATCGCATTTCGTCAAGTAACGGTCACGACTACTCGCTCGTCGGTTATTCTAAAGGACTACTCGTTTGGGCAAAAGTCAACTCACTGGCCGTTTGGTCTTCTTCGCTTCGACCAGCACCTGCGACAGCTCCGAGTCGGACTTCGCCTCGAGCAGATTATTGTTGCGATTGAACGGCACGGATCGCGGCTTCGTGGCCGCGCCGGCCGCATCCTTACGGATGCTGAACTCGCCAGCTGGACCCTCGGGGTCACCAGTCGACATTATGCCGCGATCAGCCCTAACTTCGAAGTTGTCACTCAGGCTGGAATCCAAAAGCGTTAAAATTGGATGCGGTCTTCTGACAGAGGAAGACGAGCCTCTATGCACGGGTTCTACAGAGGAGCTGGAGTTCTACCACGGTTAGACGGCGAATGCGTAAGGCGACTTGGCCAGGAAAATACTTCTAGCGTACCACGACACAACATGCAAGTACCAGAAAGAATGTGACTCGCGAAGGCTTGAAGTGAAGTGAGTGATGTCGCATCAATGTCAGGAGTTTCGCAGGCTTCCAAGGTTTGTGATAAAAGAAGTCGCACATGGTCGCAACGCGACCTCGAAAGTTTTGGCGCGTGTTTCCTGCTGTGGAATGATGCCATCAAGTCGTCCAGAAAATCGCAGACAACAGAGGGGCCAGGTCTGGGTCATCTGGGCAGGGAAAAGCACTTCCAAGCCAAGCCATTGCCTGTGGGACGAGCTACTGACAAAGTTCTCTCGAGCCAGGCGCTTCAGGCAGCTTGTAAGGAATTATTCGACATTCCTTACTGAGTACCTCAGCAACGCGTACAATACCAACTGTGTTCTCCAATTTACTCCACATTTACGGTACCAAACCTCGCATTGCTAGACTTTGCCGGGTCGGCCTACGCTTCGGGACTAGCCCGGATCTTGCTGTCAGCATTGCACTAGCTAGCTCGCACGCACCACGTTACCGTTTGCCGATTTTGCTATAAGTGTTCGCTCATGCCTTTGCTCACAATTGTACTCGTTTGAATCATTAGTGTTGGAATAACCGAGAACTATACTAACATTTCAGATGGTATAACCTTACCGCACCTGCCAATAGCGAAGCAACACCTGTACCACTACCGCGTTAGCCCATATAGGGCACACAGGTCAACATTCGCGGCTCAACTGTCGCGATTGTTGACCGACCTGGACCAAGAGGTTGCAACCTGCGAAGCAACTCGCAGCCGACTCGGAGGTTTTGTGCTACAACGAGGTGACTGAAGGGATCGCAATAGTCACTGCCACTGTAGCGATACCTGTGTTGCCGTTAATAAAGAAATGTACTGTCAAAATGTTATATAGCTTACTTTGTGTAGGCTATAGTGGGGTAGCTCATAAGGGGTACAACCCAATTAGGGTTAGTATTTGTACCCAACTCTTTGACAGTTCATTCATTCTCGTTCATTCTTCTGACATGGTATCAGAGCAGATCTTTCCCTAGGACCGTTTTTTTTAGGGCCCACCACAGCGCTGCCCCACTAGCTGCCTTGTCGCACTGCCCTACTAGGCGCGCCACCCGTAGCTGCCCGTCGCGCCGCCCTTTGCAACCCGCGCGCCGTCGTTAGCAGCCCGCGAGCCGCCCTTGCAGCCCGCGCACCGCCTTTAGCAGCCCGCGCGCCGCCCCTAAGCCAACGCGCCGCCCCTGCAGCCCGCGCGCCGCCTCTGCAGCCCCGCGCGTCGCCCCTGCAGCCCCGCGCGCCGCCCTTGCAGCCCCGCGCACCGCCCCTGCAGCCCGCGCGCCGCCCCTGCAGCCCCGCGCGCCGCCTCTGCAGCCCCGCACGCTGCCTCTGCAGCCCTGCGCGCCGCCCCTGTAGCCCCGCGCGCCGCCCCTGCCACCCGCTCGCCGCTTGCTTGCGGCCCGCTCGCCGCCCCTGCAGCCTGCGCGCCGCCCGCTTGAGGCCCGCCCGCCGCCCATGCAGCCCGCGCGCCGCCCGCTTGCGGCCCGCCCGCCGCCCCTGCAGCCCGCGCGCCGCCCGCTTGCGGCCCGCCCGCCGCCCCTGCAGCCCGCCTGCTTGCGGCCAGCTCGCCGCCCCTGCAGCTCGCTCGCCGCCCCCCTGTGGCCCACCTGCCGCCCCTTTGCAGCCCGCAAGCCGCCCCTCTTGCAGCTTGCGCGCCGCCACTTGCAGCCCGCGCGCCGCCCCTTGCGGCCAGCTTGCTGACCCCCCCCCTGCTGCTTGCACCGCCCGGCTCCTGCCCGCCCTGCTGCTGGCCACCCTAGCCGTGCGCCGCTCTGCTCTGCCTGCGTGCTGCTCTGCTAGTAGCGCGCCACCCTGCTCTGCCCGCTATGGCTTCTCTCCGTGTCCTCACGTTCAATCATGAGGGCCGTCTGATCCAGTTCGACACGTGGCTCGACGACTTACAGCTGTACCTGCTGAGCGACTCTAGAGACAGCGTTTCGTTGTTTGACCACACGTCTCGAGCCTCTCTCGCCCCTCCCGCCACAGCTGACAGTGCGACTCGCTCACAGTGGCTTACCCGTGACGCTGCTGCTCACTTAGCCATTCGCAACCACCTTACGTTAGCCGAATGCGCTCACTTCGGACAGCACAAGACTGCTAAAGCACTGTACGACGCTGTAGTCGCTCGTTACTCCTCCCCTACCACTGCTGCTCTAGGCCGTCTTCTACTGCCCTACCTGTTTCCCGAGCTGTCCGCCTTTGCCACGGTAGAGGACCTCACTACCCACCTTTGCACTAGCGACACTCGCTACCGCGCTGCCCTCCCGGCAGAGTTCCTTGACAGGAACCCACCCCCGATGTACATCAATCTCTACTTCATAGTCACCCGCCTCCCTGACTCTCTTCGCGCAGTCAGGGATCACTTTCTTGCACTTGACCCCACAGACCTCACTGTTGACCTGCTCGAGCAGCATCTCCTTGCAGCTGAGACTAGTGTAGTCGCTGTAGGTGCAGCTCGTGGCACTCCTCGCACGCCCTTCTTTGAGGGGTGTTCCCCCTCCCCCCTTTCCCCCTCCTACGCCTCTGCTGCTGCTGTTGACGTCCTTGGTGCTGAGGATGTTAGGGCTGCTTCTGCTAGTGGGAAGCGCCGCAGCAGAAAGGCCAAGGGTGGCAGGAGTGGTGGAGGTGGCAGCGGGGGTGGTAGTGGGGGCGGCAGTGGAGGTGGTGGAGGTAGTGGAGGTGGTGGCAGCGGTGGGAGTGGTGGCGGGAGTGGGGCCTTTGGTGGCGGCGGTGGTGGCAGGGGTGGGAGTGGCGGTAGTGGCGGCAGTGGGAGTGGTGGCAGTCGGAGTGGAGCCGTTCAGAGGGGAGGTTCTGGCGGTGGCCAGCGGAAGCAGCAGCACCGTCGGAGCAAGACCCCTTCACCCCAGCAGCTTCGTGAGTGGCTTGCTCAGCGTGGGGCGTCTGTGGTTAGTTAAAGCTGCCCGTATGTCATTCGCACGGGTGACCGTGCTGGTCAGACATTTGGGAAGCCTCACACTCAGCACCGCTGCTTCTCCCGCCTAGACGACGCTTGGCGCGCAGAGTTTGGTGACAAGGCCGAGCATCCCCGCTGGGCAGAGCTGCTTAGGTCAGGGATTGCTATCTTCGATCTTGACTATGATGCTATCCTTGCTGCTATGTATGCCTTGTCTGTTAGTGCTGAGGGTGACTGTTACCTGTGTGTGCCGCCCGACCCAGGTATAGAGGCTGCTGCTCTAGGTGCTAGTGAGTCTGCTCTCCCTGGTACAGCGCCTGCTGAGGCCTTGCACACCTTCACGCTTGACTCAGGTGCTTCCAGCTGTTTCTTTCGCGACAGCACCACCCTTAGTCCTCTCTCTGCACCTGTACCGGTTAGACTGGCTGACCCCTCAGGGGGCCCAGTTCTTGCCCACTCCTCCACTGTTCTCCCGTGTCCGACGGTTCCATCCGGCTCACTGTCAGGTCTTCACCTCCCCTCGTTCTCTACGAACTTGGTGAGTACCGCTTCCTTCCAGGATGCGATGGTCACCACCACCACTCCTGGGGGTCAGCGTGTGTCGATCTACACGTGTACACGGACGGGCCGTCACCTGGCCACGTTCACCCGTCGGCCTGGGTCGAGTCCGTACACACTGGCTACCGAGCCTCCTCAGGTAGCTGCGTCTGCCCAGGTGTCCGCGTGAGGTCCGGTAGCACCCCCCTGCTCGTGTCGCCTCCTGTTGCACTAGACTCTCTTGTGGCACCACCGACTTGGTCACCCCTCCCTGCCACGCCTTCGTGGCATGCAATCCTGCCTCCTTGTCTCTGGTCTTCCCAGGTCTCTGCCTCCCCTCCCGCCCTCGCTTGCCCCGCCTTGTCTTCCTTGCTTCGAGGGGCGGCAGCGCGCCGCTCCTCACTCCTCGTTTCCCCTGACGTCTGCTCCCCTGCAGACTCTCCACATGGACGTGTGGGGCCCAGCCCGCGTCAGTGGACAGGGCCGCGAGCGCTACTTTCTGCTGGTTGTTGACGACTACATGCGTTACACCACGGACTTTCCCTTGCGCAGCAAGGGTGAGGTCCCTGAGGTCTTAATCTCTTGGATCTGCGCAGTTCGTCTCCAGCTCCGCGAGCGGTTCCGCCAGGACCTTCCTGTCTTGCGTTTGCACTCTGACAGAGGTGGTGAGTTCTCCTCCGACCTCTTGCGGGACTTTTGTCGTGGGGAGGGCATTCTCCAGTCGTTCACGCTTCCGGCCTCCATGCAGCTAAATGGGATTGTTGAGCGCCGCATTGGCTTAGTCATGGAGGTCGCTCGTACCTCCATGATCCATGCGGCTGCTCCCCATTTTCTGTGGCGGTTTGCGGTCCGGTACGCCGCGCATCAGCTCAACCTCTGGCCCCGTGTCTCCTTGCCGGAGACCTCACCTACACTCCGTTGGACGGGGAAGGTTGGCGATGCGTCGATGTTCCGGGTCTGGGGTTCTCGTGCCTTTGTTCGTGATACGTCGCGGACAAGCTCTCCGCCTGCGCTATTCCCTGTGTCTTCCTTGGCTTTCCCCCTGACGCGCCTGGCTGGCAATTTTACCACCCCACCTCGCGTCGTGTCCTCCCGTCTCAGGACGTCACGTTTGACGAGTCGGTTCCCTTTTACCGTCTCTTCCCCTACCGGTCTGCCCCTCTCCCCCCCCCCGCCGCTCTTCCTCGCTCCAGGTCCCCCTCCGGTAGACCCCCTCCCCCCTCAGGGTCCTGCTTTCTCAGGTGTGTCTTAGGTAGACCCACTCCCTGGGGCTGGGCCTGTCGAGGTCGCTGTAGACTCAGGTGCTGCTAGAGGTGCTGCGTCTGGGGGTGCTGCGTCTGGGGGTGCTGAGCCTGCGCGTGTGGGGACTGGGGGTGCTGAGCCTGAGGGTGCGGGGTCTGGGGGTGCCGAGCCTGAGGGTGCGGGGCCTGGGGGTGCTGATCCTGCGAGTGCGGAGCCTGGGGGTGCTGAGCCTGAGGGTGCGGAGCCTGGGGGTGCTGAGTCTGAGGGTGTGGAGTCTAGGAGTGCTGAGCCTGAGCATACTGAGCCTAGGGGTACTTTGTCTACTGGTCGTCCTCCGGGTGCCTTGTCGCGGCGGGAGCCTCTCTCTCCACCGCAGCTGCGCGAGTGGTTTGCTCGGTGCACCCGCCTTCCGAGTGGCGCTGCTGGAGCCGGGGGGTCTGCCGCTGGAGGCACTGGAGCTCTTGGTCCTGGAGGTACTGGAGCTGCTGGAGCTGGAGGTGTTGCAGTTGATGGAGCTGGAGGCACTGGAGCTGGAGCTGCTGGAGGTACTGGAGCCGCTGGTCCCGGAGGTGCTCGTAGTGGAGGTACTGGAGCTGCTGAGCTGGTGGTGCTGCAGGGGTTGGAGCTGGTGCTGCTGGAGGTATTGAAGCTGTAGCTGCTGGAGGTACTGGAGCCGCTGGTCCCGGAGGTGCTCGTACTAGAGGTACTGGAGCTGCTGGAGCTGGTGACGCTGCAGGCGTTGGAGCTGGAGACATAAGAGCTGGAGGCGCTGGCCCTGGGAGTGCTGGTGCTGTTGGTGCTGGTTCTGGAGACACTGGACGACCGCGACCGTACTTCGTTCCCCTGCTTCAGCAGGTTCTTAGTCTCCCGTCTTCTACTGGCCTTACTCCTCCCTTACTGTATCCACCGCCTGACCAGTCACAGCCACCGTTAGAGCCAGCCTCCCCACTGCCTGCTCCTTCTCCTTACACTGAGCAAACCGGAGGCCTTACAGAGAGTCGTGAGCCTGTATCTCGTCCTGCCTTGCCTGTTCGCGCTCTTCGCACTGGTCGTCGTGTTCCTCGTCAGCGTCCTCCTCCTGTCCCGGGCACGCACCATATGATACTTCGTCCTTCCTCTGTTCCACAGCGTGTCCCCCTGCCGTCTCCTCCTGCGTCCTCTCTTGCTGACGGTCCGAACCCTGAGTCTGACTTCGTTCGTGTTGCCAGCCCTACTGTCCCTCGTCTTCTACCCATTGTTGTCACTGACCCTTCGTTTGAGTCCGCTGCTGCGTCTTCCCTAGTTGCTGAGCTTGTTGAATTTGCTGCCGCCTGTCGTCTCAACTACGCCGCTAGTCTTGTTGCTGAGTCTGAGTCTGACTGTCCTCCGTCCGTCAGGGGGAGGATGGTTAAAGGGGGACATGCGTTGCGTGGAGTAGGGAGAGGGGGGGGGGATGGGTTGTAAGAAAGCCAGTGGCTAAATGCAAGTCACAATTTCAACGTGTGCTGCACTCCCTTCCACCACCACCACCACCACCACCACCACCACCACCACCACCACCACCACCACCACCACCACCACCACCACCACCACCACCACCACCACCACCACCACCACCACCACCACCACCACCACCACCACCACCACCACCACCACCACCACCACCACCACCACCACCACCAACATCACCAGCAGCCGCACTGTTGAAATGTATTTGTATACATTCATATAAATGCCTACAGTAGTCTAATGTAGTTATCTTAGTTTCCTGCTAGGTGGTGTACCATTTGCCTAATTCCTTGCCTATATCTTGTATGCCCTCTACTAGTGAACCCCTTTTTGGCTTGCATCTTCCCTCGCCACTTTCCTTCTCGTCACTCTCGCCTAGGTCAAACCCTAGGCCCCTAATCTTCATTCTCGACATGGTACAGAGCACGTAACATCCTGGCCTACTGTTTTCAACTTCTCCATGGGCCCACCACGTATTCCTCGTTTCATGGCGGCCGTCGCGCCCTTAGTTGCGACTGACGTGACGGGCGCGACGGCAAGCTTTCTGCTGTCATGGCGACGAGCTGGGCAGCTCGTACTGCCCCGTTGCTCCTTCGCCCTGTCACCCGCCCAGCGCTACCCGCCCCGTCCCGACCTGCCCCACCCCGTTCTGTCACGAACACAGCAGCAGCCGCGCGCAGCTGCGTACGGGCGCGCATTGCTGCGCGCAGCCGCGTACGACCGTGCGCAGCCGCGCACGGCCGTGTGCGCCAGCACCAGCGCCCGTCGCCAGCACCTGCGTGAGCAGCAGCTAACGCCGCCCCCCCCCTTCCCTTCCGCAGCTTCCGCCGTGGGGGGAGGGAGATGTGGGGGTGGCGGGTGTGAGTTGCCTGCAGCCCGTCCTACCCCTCCCTTCAGCGGGGTCCTCCGTGAGGGGGGGGGAGAGGTTGCGGGGGGAGGGTGAAGGGAAACGGGGGGAGTGTGAGAGGGTGGCGAGAGAGACTCTGCAAAGCCAGCAGCCACCCCTCCTCTCTCTCTCACTGCCGCTTGTGCTGCTGTGGGGGGGAGGGTAAGAGAGGGTGGTGGGAAAACAGTCAAGCATCTGCAGCTGCCACCCGCTGCTACCGTGGCACCTCCTGCGGCCGCCCCTGCCGCCACCTGCCCTTGTTTCTGCTGTCTGCTGCTGGGGCCTGCAGGTGCTGCCGTCGAGCCGCTGCTGTCCTGCTGCATGTTGCAGCCACAGAGCCTGCTCCTCAGGCGACCTGCCGCCCCTACACCTTCTACTGCTTTTGACTTGGCTGAGGGCGTGCTATAGTTGTATTTGCCACTCCTGCACCGGCTACTACTGCTCTTGCTTGCTTCTGTTTCTTCCACTGCACCTGGTGTACCCCTGCAGACTTTGTGCTACACACGGGTTTCCACTGTATGCATTTAGGGGGTGTGTTGAAATGTATTTGTATACATTCATATAAATGCCTACAGTAGTCTAGTGTAGTTATCTTAGTTTCCTGCTAGGTGGTGTACCATTTGCCTAATTCCTTGCCTATATCTTGTATGCCCTCTACTAGTGAACCCCTTTTTGGCTTGCATCTTCCCTCGCCACTTTCCTTCTCGTCACTCTCGCCTAGGTCAAACCCTAGGCCCCTAATCTTCATTCTCGACTTCATTCTCGACACGCACCACACTGACTTACAGTGTGTAGAAGTGGTGGAAGCCGCAGTGAAAGAGGAGGCGCTGCTTGGACTTGAAGGTGGGGGCGGTGCCAACACCACCAACACTCACCACCAGCAACCAACACTCACCGCAAGCACCACCACCACCAGCAACCACCACTGACTTCCAGCAACCACCACTCACTGAGTGTAGAAGCGGCGGAAGCTGCTGTGGAATAGGAGGCGCTGTTTGGACTTGATGGGGGCGGCGAAGGAGTCGGCCTTCTTGACTGAGAAGTGCAGCACTGTCATGCGCACCTCGTGCTGCAGTAGGCCCGTCACGACAAGTGGCAGCTCACAATTGGCTGCTTTGTTCTGCAGACGCTCTGAGCATGGGAAGGGTGGGGGAGAAGGGAGGGGAGACGGGAGGGGAGTGGGGGAAAAAGAGAGGGGAAGGGGGTGGACCATGGAACTGAAAGAGCCCAGGAAGGAACAACAAGGATCTTGGGGATTTAACTCGGTGCTTATGAATAAATAAAGGACCGTGTGGTCGGGATACTGAAAGCAAGGAAAACACCTTAAGGTTAATGGAATGATTCTACTAAGTGCCTGCATGAACACCTTCACGACCCTGAAAATATGCATGTATGATTACTTTCACATGGACGCACACATTGCAATGCACACTGCCAAACACATGCACATATTAAAAGGGACATCATTATCAATAAGGTTCATGAAGTCCGTATCTCCTTCGGAGCATCGCACGTTCATAATGTGCAACTTGACTAGCGTCCCCGCCCCAACAGACATGGGCACCTCGCCCCGTTGCCGCCTGCTCCTCTATCACCTTCTGCGTCCTCTTCCAGTTGTTTAAGGAGAAAATGCACGCGTACTCGGGCGGGAGGGACTCCTGTGGGTGGCAGATGAGAGGGGGTGGGTGGAGGGGAAGGCAAGTCATAATTGACTCAAAGTCTCCTCCGCGGCCTTCTGCGTCCTATTCCAGTTGTCAGGAGAAAATGCGTGCGTTCTTTGGGGGGGGGGGAGAATCCTGTGGTGTGGGAGAGGGGGGGGTTGGGTCGGGAGGGGGGAGGGGATGGGGGATTAGTGAAGGAAATGTGAGATGCCACTCTGCTGCCCTCTCCCCTGTTGGCTAAGCTTCTACGTCCTCTTCCAGTTGTCAAAGGAGAATATGCGCGCATACTCGTGGGGGAGGGACTCCTGTAGGCGGCAGAGGGGAGGTTGGATTGGGGGGGGGGAGGGGATGGGGGATTAGTGAAGGGAATGGTAGATGCCACACTGCTATCCTTTCCCTGTTGGCTAAGCTTGTGCGTTCTCGTCTAGTGGTCCAAGGAGAAGATGTGTGCATACTCAGGGGGGGAAGGGACTCCTGCGGGCAACAGAGGGGGGGTTGGGTGGGGAGGGGGTGGGGGTCTAGTGAAGGGAATGTGAGAGATGCTGTGGTGGCCCCTTCTCCCTTGTCCGCCTCTGGGACCTCTTGAGGGGGCTCAAAAGTCGATTGTCCGCCTCTGGGACCTCTTGAGGCGACTCAAAAGTCGGCTTGTCCGCCTCTAGGACCTATTCCAGTTGTCCAAGGAGAATATGCGTGCGTATTTGGGAGGAAGGGACTCGTGTAGGTGGCAAGGAGGGTTGTGGGGCGTGAAGGAATGCACAAAGTACCAGACAGCACTGCACGCAACACCTTGATATGGCCACAATAGCAACAAGTAACCCACCTTTGACAGCATATGCACAGCACAGTACATACACCAATAATCACACCGCACTTCACCTTGGGGTTCTAGGGTGAGGAGTGAAAGGACTTGAGCCCGCGGTACTTGGCGAAGCGCTGCCGCGCTGGGAGGTCGTCAGGTGTGTCCACCTCGTTCGGGAACTTTGCATGGTGTACAATGTGGGGGTGGGATGTGGACACAGGAGATGGAAGGGTATGAAGGATGGGGGAAAGAGGTAGCAAAGGTTGGCAAAGCGCTGGTGCGCTAGGATGTCGTCCGGCATGTCCACCTCGTCGGGGAGCTCTGATTGGCGTGGAATGGGGTTGAGGATTGGGGATGGTGAGATCCAAAAGCGGGGTGGGGGAGAGCGGGAACATGGGGAAAGCGGATGGGGAGGTGAAGCGCTTGTGGGCTTAGAGATGTCGTCCAGCGTGTCCACCTCGTACGGGAACTGTGCAGTGTGTGACAATTACAGGGGAGATCAGAATGGGGAGAGACGAAGAGGAAGCCTCTCTGATGGTACCAAGTGCTGCATGGAATCGTCAGAACTTGAGTGATGCCTTTCTCGGGGGGACACTCCTGTCAGATTATATCTTCACTTGTTTCCTGCACAGATTAGTTTTTTTTTGGGTAAAAATAGGCACCCAAACTTAATTTGGGTAGCAAACCAGGGTTTGCCCTAGTTCGAGGTTCGGTTTCAAGCTTGGATTTGGAGATGATTTTCCCTCGATGATATTGGCCCACATTGACCACAGTCAATGTCCCCTTCCCAGTGACACTAACCCACTCCACCGTCGTATACAACTCACCTTGGTTGGTCATCCTGCAGATCCGCCCTCAGTCGCTTCATCTCCTCCCACTCTACTCAGAATGAGAGCTCAGCAGCTTACCAATGCCTACCTTAACTCAGCTTACCCCTGCCCTACACCACACACCATGAACCTGAACCTCACACCACACCCAACCTAGTCCTCCTGCTGATGTGTCCCCAGCCGCTTCATCTCCTCCCACTGTGCTCAAGCCCTCTTCTCCGCTTCCCCCTCTACGTCATCCTCATCCTGCCACAAACATAGGGGGGGGAGGGGTGAGTGATGATGGTGGAGGAATCGCCCTCATGTCCCTGTGGCTGCCTCGGCCTCTGCCTCTGCTCCTTTCTCATCCACCCACAAACACACAAGTGGAGGGATACAAGAGGAAGGGAAAAGAAATGTTCTCATTCTGCATCGCTCTCATTGTACCACAAATACAGGAGAAGATGGATGAGGGACGGAAGGTGGATGGGCGACGGAAGGCGGATGGGCAACGGAAGGTGGATGGGCGACGGAAGGCGGATGGGCGGCGGAAGGTGGATGGGCGGCGGAAGGTGGATGGGAGGTGAGAAAGAAGAGATGGCAGCACCATGAATGTAGGGAGTTGAAGGGAGGAACAACGTTTGGCATGAAATGAGAGCAGCACGCACCATGAGCCCGTCGTAGGTGCTGCCTCCCTCTAGCCTCTCCCCTCCCACACCCTCATCCTCATCCACCTCCTCCCAATCATTCTTCGACCCCTCCTCCTCCTCCTCTGCTCCTCCTTTCTCACCCCCATCCCTCTCCTCTCCCTCCTCCATCACCTCCTCTTCCTCCTCTCCCTCCTCCTCCCCACCCTCCTCTTCCCCATTGCTCCCCTCCTCGTCACCACCTTGCATCCATGCCGCTTGCAATTCAACAAGCAGCACAGTATGTTAAATTTATTTAGCCTCATGCAAATCTTGAGGAGCTTCATAAAACCCTCTTAACAAGCTTGCAGCGACGCATGTCGACACCATCCACCCACCTCACATACTCTCGTCCCTCTGCTCTCACCTCTTCACCCCGCCCCTTCCCTCCCAACCGCACCTGTTCACCCGCCCCCTCCCTTCCATCCGCACCTGTTCACCGTCCCCTCCCTCCCAACCGCACCTGTTAGCCGGCCAGCCGATGGAGCGTGTTATGTATCACAAGGGGGTCCCTTAGCTCAACTTGCCAACTTCTCAAGAATGCTTTTGAAGCTAAGACCACCAAGTATGAGACCGACTTCAGCGTGTGGGAGCAGGCGGATGCGGCAGAGATTAGGGTTTTCATCACCACCACTCTGGTTGAGCTTGTCAAGTCTTACCGCACATTTCGCTCCGCGTATGACATATGGAAGTATCTCTAGCACCGTTTTCACGACAAAACTGCAGTGGGAGTTGCCATCCTCATTCCTTGAATGTTCTAGGTCCGCCTTGAGAAATCCGCAGCATCCGTGAGGAATTCAATGACAATGGGATCACAGTCCCTGAATAGGCACCTGCAGCTGGTACCCCAGCCTACAATGTAACTAGTTCCATGCTCAAGCAGCTCCCCACCAAGGAACTCAACTTCTAGAAAGTCGCTTCAGCCCTTCCCTCTGCTGAAAAAGTCCTTGCAGCCCAAGCATCCCTCAATGCTGTAACGCTACTCCCCAGCAGCACCATTCCGCTCCCAGCAGGGACCGAAGCGCAACTCCTTTCCCCCATGCCCCTACATCATTAAAAAGGGCCCACGTGCGGGGCAGAAATGCGGAGGCACCAATCACCATGAGGCAAATTTCTTCAAGAAGGGAGATGACGGGTGGTACGACTTCCATGGCGTCTCCAAGCGTCCTCCCAACTGGGCCACACCCCGTTGTGTGAACCAGGTTGAGGTAGTGGAGGAACCTATTCCCTCAGTTGCTAGTGCCCCATCTGATGTTCGCCTCAATATAATGTTCTCTATTGCTGGTTTTATTAATGAGAAGGGGTCGCAGTACATCGGGTTTCAAACATACTGGGGCGAGAGTTCATAATAGACAGTGGTGCCACCCACACTGTGATAACAAACCAAACCTCATTCCTTCCCTACCAGGCTCCCACCCCAGTTCTTGGAGCCGATTCTAGTTTCTCCATCACATGCCATGGGTCCTCCACAGTTCCCTGTCAAACCTTCCCATCCGCCACAATCACTGGCACCTGTGTCCCAACCCTCCGCTACAACCTCCTTGCATAGCATGAAATCCAAAAGGCAGGAGTGATCATCATCTTTCCCAGTGATGTTGACTACTATGACCTCATTAACACCAAAACCCACACCCTCCTTGTACGTTTCACCCTAAAATCCAACAACCTCTACACAATAGTTGTACCTCCCTTTCAAACATGCTCGCTCACCCACCTTCCGCTTCCTTCCCTAGACTCCTCCACATGTTTCTGCTGTCTCCTTTCTAACAAAACTATGCTATTTCATCACTGCCTTGGCCACATCAACTTTCGCTATCTTGCCACAAAACAGCTTCTTCACGGGCTACTAGCCTCGCTTCCATCACCTTCCTCCCACCCAGGGCCACCTTGCCTTGACTGTGCACAGAGAAAACTTTGTGAAAAGGCCCATCCTTCTACTGAGCCCATCTCCGCTGCACCTCTAGATCGCCTGCACATGCACCTTGCAGGGATAGCATTCCAGTCCGCTAACGAACTGGGATAAAATGGCATGTTTCCTTGGTGGGTCAGCACACCCATACCCTCCCAGGACGACACATGTAGCCCTTAGGGAGACCACTTTGGGCCATTCCAGTGTCCACTTCCAACATTCCCCTTACTGGGAGGGCCCACCACTAGGGCACATGAAGTCTCCGACAGCAGGAATCGAACCCCGGTCCTCCACGCTCACCGCACCATGCCGGGATAGCATTCTAGTCAAAATCAATTGGGATAAAATGGCATGTTTTCTTGGTGGGTCAGCGCACCCATACCCCCCCAAGGATGACATCTGTAGCCCTTAGGGAGACCACTTCGTGCCATTCTAGTGTCCACTTCCAATAGACCTTTTGGGCCCGGCTCCGGTTCGTTCTTGTGGCGGACATATCTACTTTCTTGTTACCATTGTTGACTATTCCCACTATGTGTCCGTCCATCTTCTCACATCCGAGTCCAAAGCCCCGGCCGTCATCATCGAATAAGCTTGGCAAGCTCATTCTTACTTCAAAACCAAAATCAAGTGTTTTCACCCCGACGGTGGCGGTGAATTTCGAAACCACACTCTCAAATCTTTTTGCTCCACTGAAGGCATCCTCCAAACCTTCACTCTCCCAAACCATCCTCAACAGAATGGCGTTGTTGAGAGCCGCAACCGCATACTGGTACAGATCGCTCGCTGCCTCCTCACTCACGCCTCCGCCCCTACCTCTCTCTGGAGGTACACCATGCTCCATGCTGCTGCCCTTCACAATCTCCATCCTCATCCTCACCATGCTCACACCACCCCTGCTAAGCTGTGGACAGGTATGTCCGCCCTCTTCGTCTATGGGGGTGCACCTCCTATGTCCTCCTCAATTCCCAAGCTTATCGTGCAGCTAGCTGCAAACTTTCTCCCAAAACAATCACATGCGTATACCTCGGGCACAACTCTGACTCGACAGACTACCTCTTCCTCCATCCACCCACCAACAAGCTCTATCGCAGCCGAGATGTTTTCTTTGATGAATCTCACCCATTCTACACCTCCTCGAAAGCTTCCTTCTCTCTCCTGGGCTGACTTTGACAGTCTTCCTGTTGCCGCCACTCCATCTCCCCCTATTTAGAAACAAAACATCAGGAATATTTTTTTATTCATAAGAAAGATAATTCTACATCCCTCCACCATCTCTGACCCTCCACCACCTGCTTCCCCCTCCAGCACCATGCAGTCTCCCCCATCTCCTCCCCACTCCCCTCCCCCCGCTCTGGCTCATGCTCCTGCTCTTGCTCCGAATCCCACTTCACCTACCGCTACTCCTCCTCTCAAAACCTAACAACGCCGTCCTCCAGCTCCAACTCCTGCTCCTGCTCCAGCTCCAGCTCCAGCTCCTGCTCCAGCTCCTGCTCCCACTCCCACTTCACCTACCGCTACTCCTCCTCCAGCTCCGCCTCCCTCTCCCATTGCTTCTCGCACCCGCTCTCATGGATCTCTGAAGCCGCTCTCCCTTTCCATCCGTGACTCCCTCAATCCTCCTATCGGGGGCAATTATCCTCCTTGAGGACAAACATGAGGAGTTGATTGATCTTGACTCGGCCATACACGCGCTATGCTTCCCCTTTCCAGATATCGCAGACTCTCCCACCCTCAATTTCTCCGACAACCCCTCCATCCCCACACCTCTCACCTATGCTCTCACCTCACGCCCCCCAGTGGTTGGGGGCCATTGTCGCAGAATTCACACAGGAACTTTCACAGATGTCTCTCCTCCCTCTAGCATCAACATCGTGAAAGGCAAACGGGGTTTTCGGGTGAAAAAACTTCCAGGCGAACTGTGAGAACAAGTGACGAGAATGGTTGACTAGGAAGCAAGGAAGGGTACAAGTAGAATGTCGAGAGAAATTGTGTACCCCCTAAGGCTAAACCCACTACAGCCTAGAGAAATGTACACACATATGTTTGACACACCCCCATAGGAGAAGTGGGGGATAGCAAGAGCAAGCAATGGTCACAAGACCAGACAAGAGAAGAAGCAAAGCAAAGCAAGCTCAGGGTGGATCACAAAGTCACCACACAGTCCGAGCACAAGAAAAGGGCCACAAGGCCAGTTCACATGCAGAGTTATATGAAGAGAACAAACAATATAGTGATCATACCCTAGCAAGTGCAAGCATGCAGCTATATATATAGATAACAGTACAGGCAGAGTCAGGCAACAAGCAAGTGAGGCAAAGTAGGCACAAGGCCTAACACAGTAACAAAGTGCTGATGATCACCAGGCGGAAGTGCCTTGGTGAAGACATCAGCAGTGTTGGCCCGAGTGGCCACGTACGCAAGACAAAGCTAACCACGCTGCTGCAACTCTCGAGCAAGGAAGTATCGCAGAGCGATGTGCTTCGTTCTGTGCTCCAGTCTGTGCTCCTGACACAAGGCTATCATGGCCTTGTTGTCTACGTACAGGACTGGAGGCGAACGAGGCTGCTCTCCCAAGTAGGTCAGCAAATAGGTGAGCCAGCGTAGCTCCTGAGCACCCATGGCTCCGGCGTAGATCTCAGCCTCACAACTGGAGCTGAGAACTGAAGACGAGCGGGTAGACCGCCAAGAAACCGAGCCGGACCCAAGGCTGAAGGTGTAACCCTATGACGCCCTCTGCGTAGCTGAGTCGTCAACCCAGGAGGCGTCTGCGTGACCAGTGAGGACAACTGGACCCCGTCCTCCAAGCACAAGCCCCATGCCCGACGTACTACACAGGTAACGCAGTACCCTCTTCGCAGCATCCCAGTGCACCTTTCTGTGCCTACCGGGAGCCACGTAGCGAGCCAGAAGGTTGAGAGGGTACGCGAGGTCAAGTCGTGTGCAAGTCATCAGGTACATGAGGCAACCCACAAGCTCTGGGTACGGACCACTCGGCTCTACGGACTCGTCCGAAGGTGGAGCTGAGAGCGAGTGGCTGGTAGAAAGAGGAGTGGGCTGTGGCGAGGAGAACTGGTGC